TGCCGTCCTGCAGCGTTCTAAAAACCTGCCAGTTCACACCAATGCAACTAGATGAGACGGTGCATCATCTCTATGCAACAACTCTCTGTACCTCTGTTCTAACGTCCAGCTTTTCAGGCTGATTTTATGGCTGGCTGAAGCTAATTTGTAGCTTCTTAAAATATGAATGAGGATAGTGATAGTGAGATACTGGCTACAGTGAAGAACAAAACGAGCATCAAATGGACTGTGTTCATAATAAATACACCACAATAATAGCAGCAGCAGCGACCCACCGTCCAACACTGGCACACCGTGAGAACGGAAACAGAGGGCTTGGCAGGGACAGAGCACCTGCTGCAGCGAGCAAACAAGCTGTGTGCAGTCATTTTGACTTGACCGAACAGGTGACAAGCTTTACGGTGTAAAACCAGTTGCCGATGATTTGACCAGCTAAGTTGCAGGTGACATCATCAGCCAGCTTGAGTTGAGCTCAGACGGCCAGTTCACAATGCCGCAGCTTTTCTATGCAATGTTCGAAAATGGTTTGTCTTGTCGTCAATCTTTGTTCTGAACTGGGTTTAACAAAAAAATTGATTCTCAGTTGATACAGATAAGCCCGTGACGCTGGGTGTATACCTGACAAAGAAAGAACAGAAGAAACTGAGGAGACAGACACGAAGAGAGGGACAAAAAGAACTTCAGGAGAAGGTTCGTTTGGGATTGATGCCGCCACCAGAACCCAAAGGTACCCACACACCAGATACTGTTATCACAAATTACTACATTTAAGATTGAACAGAAGGTAACTGATGTTTGTTTTCATTGTCTCAGTACGCATCTCCAATTTGATGAGAGTGCTGGGGACGGAGGCGGTTCAGGACCCGACAAAGGTGGAGGCTCATGTTAGAGCACAGATGGCCAAGAGACAGAAGTTAGTAACACTTTACTAATTTCTTGCACTGTGATGAAATTTACATTTAACATTGTTTGATAATCAGTGAAGAACAAATACTTTCTATGAGGTTTTTCTGATCGTGTCCCCGTCTGTGCAGAGCTCACGAGGAGGCCAACGCAGCCCGCAAGCTCACAGCAGAGCAGAGGAAAGAGAAGAAGGTCAAGAAGTTAAAAGAAGACCTCACTGATGGCGTTCATATCGCAGTATACAGGTGTGCATTTGTAGTAAAAGAGCATCTACTGTAGTTCAGATATACAGTGCAGCATGTGTGTGTGTGTTACAGTGTAGAAGTGTGTCTAATTTAAGCACCTTACCTTCCCTGTACAGGATCCGTAACCTGCAAAATCCTGCTAAGAAGTTTAAAGTGGAAGCCAATGCCAACCAGCTGTACCTGACAGGCACAGTAGTTTTGCACAAAGACGTCAACCTTGTTGTGGTGGAGGGAGGTAAGGGGTGATACTGACAACGTTAACATGCACACTAACATTTCACTATTATTCTGAATATGATGTGGGTCATGTAAACAGCATATTTCATGTGAATGTTTATAATTAGGCCTCATTTTGAATGTATCTTTTTCCAATAAAGATATGTGGTATTATTTGGGTTTTAGGGGCATTCGTTGGACATGTATGGAGCGCATTTTGAATATCAACATTAATAACTTAATAATAGTTTCCTCCTGCATGTGATAACGTTAGCGAGTGGATTTCAGGAGACAGGATAGGTCTGTGGGTTATCTCGAGTAACTTGGTTGTGACTTATGGAACGAGACATTGCTTTCAAGTTTTAGTATTTTTTTGGCACAAGCAAAGTGTCCTCTAGTCCTATTATGGTGGAGAGAAGGCAGACATCTCTATGACTAATATCTGCAACACGCAGCAACTCACACCAAAACAATCTAGATTGTTAAATAGCACTACAAGTAATAGGAAAAAAAATATTTATTTGATTAGAGATGCACCATCACGAGCATCACCAGCACGTCATCGGTATCGGCCATTCTTGGCTTTAAAATGAAATAGTGGAATCAGCCAACATGCGTTTTCTTAATTTGCTCAATGAATGAATAATTTTCCCACGTTTCCACCAAACACTTTCAGTATGGTACCTTTTTAGAAGCAGAAAATAACCCTTCAGATATGGTACCTAGACCCTAGGTCCGTTTAGCGTTTCCACCGCAAACAGTACCCTTAAATGTGGGGGGAGTTGTTGTCACTCACTGCTCCGTCCAGCACTCACTGTATTTCCTTATCTCTGGTGAAACAGAGGGAAGTCTGCACCTTGTTTATCGTCCACAGAACGAGTCTGCACACTGACATTTTCAGAGCAAAATAAAACAGGCTGCAGTGAGAGTCTCTCTCCATGGGATTAAAAGTAGCGGTTTTGTGCATTTAGTCCTTCTCAGGCAAGATCAGGGTTTAGTGTTGCTGGAGCCCACAGGAACGGTGCTCAATGATACTTTTTTTTTCCTCCAAGTGAGGATTAGATTATATGCAGTTCACATGACCCAGTAGAAATTAATAAATTTAAACGCTTAAAGATCCACTCGTTACTAAAAGTGTATGTCATATAAAAACTAAAGTAATGGTCAAAGTTGTCACAGTTAAGTTTCAGCTGATGGTTTCACGTCGTCAACTCATGCATTAAGTAACATCACAAGTAAACATTCCACCTTAAAAGTTGCCGGCAGTTGGCCCTGTGAATCAAGTTATTTTTTCTCCGACTACAGCTGCTGCAAGACGCAACAAAACATCCTTTCATCTGATAGTGACAGTAATAGAACTCTCCACGGTATGAACAGTGGTTACATGAGCCTCAAAACCAGCCACAACTCAGCCCTGAGCAGAGTGACCGTCCTCTACTGACCAATCAACAGACTGCAGTGTTCACAGCTCCACCTTTTAGTACCAGATCTGTGTGCTAGGTACCCCAACAGAGGAGGGACCAAAAATGGGGACAGTACAGAACGGTTCCATTGGTACCATCCACAACTTTTCACAGTGGAAAAAGAAAAAAAGCATACTGAACTGTACCGTACTGCGCAGTGGAAACGGGGCTTTACATACATTGTATGTAGTGTATTTCATGTCTCCATCTGTTGGTTGGCCATCACAATAAGAGTATGCATGTATTATACGATGTTAATTCCACTACAGAAGAGACATGATGGTCACTAACATTATGTAGGAATAAAAATGGATATATTATTGGTATAGCTTATCGATCAAATGAGTTGTCATGTATCGGCATATCAGATATGGGCAAAAAATCCATTATCATGCATCCCTATTTTTGATTTTGGGGTTACTGTCCCTTTAAGTCAGCATAAATCGTTAAAGGGTTTTTTTGGGGGAGTTTTTCCTTATCCGCTGTGAGGGTCCAAAGGACAGAGGGATGTCGTATGCTGTAAAGCCCTGTGAGGCAAATTGTGATTTGTGATATTGGGCTTTATGAATAAAATTGATTGATTGATTACATTAAGGCTAGCCCTGTCTGTAAATATATACTCGTTTAATTCATGGAGATGTTGCATTCCATTGTAAACTACTGACAACATCATGAATGGCTACATGATGCTTGGACATGTTAAAAAAAAGAATTTATAGCTGTACTTAAATTAGGCTTGAAAGGCTTTTATTTTCTCTGCTACCCCTTAAGATATTAAAGAAGTGGGATACTCAAAGTCATACCTAAAATCTAAAATTATCCCTCTTTTTTAGGCCCTAAATCCCAGAAAAAGTTCAAGAGGCTGATGTTACACAGAATCAAATGGGAGGAGCACAACAGTAAAAGAGATGGTAAGAGTGGCTTGATTCTTGTGTCTGTTGTCATGCCTGTTTGCTCATTTTTGTGATACTAAACTCTCATTACCTTTGATTCTCAATTAGATCCAGATGGTGATGACGACACAAAGAGGAACAACAAGTGCTGGTTGATTTGGAACGTGAGTATTCTCACACACACACTGGGTTTCTTAAATTTCTCTTTGTGTGATCTCATTCAAGTCTAATGATTCCTCTTGGTTCCCCAGGGCACAGCCAAAGAGCGCAGTTTTGGGGAGATGAAGTTCAAGCAGTGCCCGACAGAGAACATGGCCAGAGAACACTTTAAGAAACACGGCACAGAACACTACTGGGATCTAGCGCTCAGCCAGAGTGTGTTGGACAGCACAGACGACTGAAACCTCACTCGACGCGCCCCCTCTCCAAGCCCACCAGACCCACAGCCCTCACAGCCAGTTGGCCCTCACTGCCGACCGGCTGCCTTTAACTGAGGACAGACAAATTTAAATCAAGAGACTTGAACATAGAAAAGGAGGAACAATAAACTTGTGTGGATGTTTTTGCAAGAATGTGTGACAGACGATTGCGTGTGTAGGACGGTATGTGTGTATGCCTGCATCAGTGTTCATCTTTTGTTGGTAGGCTACTCTGTCAGATATTGTGTTGTCTACTGTTGAATACGCTCTGACAGATTGCACTGTGATGTACATCACTTACCCAAGGCTTTTTGTGATGACGAGAAATGTCAGATTCTGTTATGACTCAACATTTGTGATGAAATCCCCATGTATGCCGACAACAATCCCTGTTTGGATCAAAGCAGTTGATAAGAGCCACCCCAATGATAAATGACTGCACTGCTACTGTGCGAACACATTCAAAGCAAACCTGTGAGGACTCCTGGGTGATGTTACAATACTGTTATAAGAGTTATTGTAGTCATTAAAGGTACATTTCACAGAAGTTAAAGTTCCCAAATGCATTTTTTCTGTTAGAGAAACAAGCAAATCTTTGACTGACCTGTAGCTTTATTACTCTATAACATTACAGTAACTTAAATTGACAAAATGAAGCCAACTTTATGTACGTTGTACTCCACTTCCGTTGATATTCAACTTGCTTTAACAATAAACATCAACTATTACTGTTTTTATTCGGTTTATTCAGTGTTTTTATTGTACTTACTTGCATTTATTTATATAGTTATGTCTCTATAATACAGTATAACATGGGGGCGTGTTTCCAGTCGTCCTCATTATGTTAGCTCCTTCATCCGCACCAGCAGCGAGCGATCAGCAGACATAGCTGGAAAGATGGCGGCCGGTTCAGGGGCTGCAAGCGGGCACGGAGCCCGCAGCTCCAACGCTGGTCTGGAAGCGTCTTTGGACCGACGGTTTCAAGGAGTATCCAACACAATGGAGTCAATACAGGGACTTTCAACCTGGTGCATTGAAAACAAAAAGCACCACGGCCTTATCGTGCGCCACTGGATGAAGTGGCTCAAGAAATGTGAGTAGTTAGCTCGCCGCTGTGAGGCTAACCCGCTAGCTAGCTCACTTACGCTAATTCAAATGCATATTCTGCGTTCATCGCGATTAGCTTGCCAGATTAAGCTAGTTTTGCACGGAGTACAAGGCAGTTCAATGCATCATGTAACAATTATTAATAAAGTAAATCATAAATGTGTAATTGATTGTACTTTTGAAAAGCTGGCGTTGTAATCGCTACTTAAAATTAGCCGCTAATAGCAGCTAAGCTAACGCTAGCATTTCGCTGCTAGCTCCAACCTAGCAGTGTTTACAGTTGGGCCTCCAGGGGTTCATGATCTGGATTAGACCAACTGTATTTTCACGAAGAATTGCCATGCACTACACTGCTTATCTTAAAGAATAGACACTCGAGATAAAGGTGGCTACAGTGTGTTTAGTTAGATTTAGTTACATGTCAGCTTTAGTCGGTGTTTTGTAGTTTGATGTGTGTGCAAGTTCAGTTGTGGCTGACGGGGAGTGCTTCGTCTAACATGCATGATTGTTGATGCGGTACAGTGGCTAGTGTTTTTGTAGGGTGCATATTTGATCAAGACAAATAGAGATCCACCTCTAACTGAATTATATTGTCAGTTTTCTATAGAGGAGTAACACGCAGAGTTAAAGCTCCACAGTCATTGTGAATTATTGATGCACTTTACAGAAGCTCCATCAACACTGCCCACTAATATGCAATTGCTCCATGTTGCTTTCTTACCAATCTGCTGCATATTCCTGAAATACCACACTGATGGCAGGTAAACTTCTTAAGTGAATGTAATTGTTATAGTTGTTCAAGCTTAAGTTGATCAAGCAGGTCTGCACATTCAAGCAAAGTTGGTGTTGCTGTGTGGTTGTGTCAAACTTCAAAGTTTCTGATAAATGTCCCTTGTCAGTGAAGTAGACTGTCAACAGATGGTCCGTACAACCTTTTGCTATTACTGGAGTCTGACACGTTTGGTCTCTTTTTTTAGTTCAGAGCAGTTGTTCATTCCTCATTAATCTGCATTTATCTGCATCTACATTATTTTTGCTTCATGCTTTTAATCACAGTCTGTCTGCATAGTATTGACAGGCAGCATCACTGTAGCAGTCCTGCATTATAACTACTGAAATGTAGGGCTGCAACGATTAGTCCACTAATCTATGACTAATCAACTATTAAAATAATTGGTGACTATTTCAGTAGTCGACTAATCAGTTTGAGTCATTTTTCTTAGAGAAGTACTATGAAAGTACCCCAAAATACTCTTATTGCAACTTCTTACGTTCAAATATTGGCAGCTTTACACACTCTCCCATGACGGTGAACCAAAACTCTTTGGCATGAGTACAAAACAAGACATTACATGACATAATTTTGGGGTTTGGGAGAGATTGACCGACATTTTTCAACATTTTAACACATTTTTCGATAAAATGCTTCGTCGACTAATCGAAGAAATAATCGACAGATTAGTCGACAATGAAAATAATTGTTAGTTGCAGCCCTACTGAAATGTTTATAGATAATACAACACAGTCCCCTGGCCCCATCTTACAACAGTGCCAACACATTTCCTCCTTGTAGCTCCGTCTTGTGAGGCTTTGTAAGTCCTGCATGCAGCATTTGAAGTACCACAGTGGTGATAAGACATCCAATTTGGGATGAGATGTAATCCCAAAATTACTTTCTGCAGTCTACATAACACCTGTGCAGCATCTAACTTCATTCATACAGATGTACAAGTATGTGGCCTATTGAGGTAGCACAGTGATAAAAGCCACCATACTGCTCTTACTTTAGACCACAGAATCATCAGTTTATTGGATATGTCTTCACTTGTTTTGTGAAATCAGAGGCTATTTTGTCCGTTGCTCTGATCTCCATCCACTCTAAGAATCTGTCTTCTTGATAATATTTCTGATGTCACTTGTTAGTCTGAATGATGATATCATCATTTAATTTGTAACTACAGTATGCGTTTAGCTGTCCGACATGTGCATGGTCTCTAACTAACACCATTTGGAAGAAAACAAGAAACATCTGTATAGGAGTTATTCTGTTTTTAAGATGACAATGTCGATTTTTCAAACCTGGGAGTGATGAATGCTTCAGTAGATTTACAGATTTTATCAGCTTGTCAGCTGAGTGTGGGCAGGAGAAGGAGATAGCAGAGTACCTCACATATTTTGTGCTTTGGCTGTCGATGTTGGTGAATGCAGGGAGGAGATATGATGGATGTCGCGACTGCTCGGTGGAAGCATAATTTATCATTTGAGCTTTTGTGTTGTTTTTGCTAGAGTGAGAAACTGGAGACAAATCAAAAGGTGAAAATTGTTGTCTTTGGGTTGACTGCTTGTTATTTTTCTGTTCTGTGGAGAATAAGTTTTTGTTCACTGTTAAGGCTCGGGCTCACTGACGGTGTCATGAAAGTAATCTTTCTATTTTTACTCACAAGTGGATTTTGGAAAGTTAAGCTTTCTGGAAAGAATTGCAAGCTGGTACATAGTTTAATTTGTGTGAAGATGAATGGAATCAAGAAGTAGATATCAAAAAGTTTTTATATACCAAATTAAATATTTGTTGTTTAAGTTAGTTTAAAGCAGGAGTCAACAGATTGTAGGATTGCATTTGCTTGAATTGTGTTACATGATGCTAATTTGGATATGTAGGCCTATGAAAGACAGTGTTTGTGCACATGATAAACATTATGATCATAACATCCCATAGGAACATGCACATGGAAACAAGGTGCAAGGAATTGTTTTAATGACAGTGTCTTCAAAATACATTTTGTCAGTACCTGTGGTTGAACTTTATTGCATCCTGAAAAACTCGCTGCAGAGATTTGGGGAATTATACATCAAGGAGTTTCATTTAAAATTGCCAGTGTCGCAGACAAATCATCATGTAGGCGTTTTTTTTTATCTCCCCTGCATCACTGCACATGGCGTGATAAAGCTTATGCTGACAGCACATGGTGAGCTGCTGTGTGCCGGCAGAGCCATTGTTTTCTGATTCAGAGCAGTGCCAACTAAGAGTCAATCTACCGATCATCCTTTACTGATGGCTGTAGACCACGACATGTTTGGTTTGTCTCTTAAAAGTCTGCAAATGTCTTTAAAGGAATTAAGTGGATGCATTTTAATCAAGACAATCCATGCTAGCTAGTTTACAAAGCAGACAACAGTTTCTATGTTTTTCCTACCGTGCAAAGATCCATTACTTTGCATTAACTTCAGTATGGTATGCCATCTTTTATGATTTATGAATGGTGCTGCAGTTGAGAAAAGAGACTCTCTGTGATGAAGAAGCTCTTCAGATGTGTGGGGGAGTGTTGGAAATTATCTAAATGCCTGCAGCGTATCTCTGAGCACCACTGCCGGCAAGCTGTTTCTGGAATATTTGTAGCATAAGTTGTGTTTTGTGTACTCAAGTCTAAACTGTAGTATCAGTATCAGTGCTTGGGGCTAATGAACCTGCTTGTTTAATACTCTATTAAAGTGCTGAGATGTTTATTACATGGGATAATAAACATGTTCCAGTGTTAGTGGAGAAAAGTGTGGTGTAAAGATTCTTTATTTTCAGTGAGGGTGATTAAAAATGCAGGATGCAACCTTTTAAGGTGCAGTATAGTTTTATTTGTAGTGTGCATTAGTGCATAAGCACAGTGTTAGTTTAGGATAAACTGACCATACATGTATAGCATTTACTTCACATCCACAAAAATGAACAGTAGAATAGAGTGTACCAGTAAACCCGGAACTCCGTTAACGCTTTTAGCACTTCCGTTTCTCTTGTCTAAAAGTTAATACGTTTATTGAATGGGATTTTGGTAAAATGCCTCAAATAAGCTCTGTGGTTAACAAAAGCTTAAGCGAGTTTCAGGTTTTGTTCTACGACATTAAACACGTCAGTAAATACCCTACTTGTGAATTTTGAAGCTTTTACGTGTCGTAAAAAAGGCGGTTGCTAACAAGTTGCTCAATACAACTACAAACCCTGTCGGGGACATTAAACGTCATCACCCCCGAACAGGCGAGAGTGCTGGCAGTCCGCCATTACAGCTTCTTATTTAGCTTAAACAGTCCGATTTCCCCATTATACAATGTTTTTAAAATAAAGTGGCCGAAATCTGTTGAAAGCTTAGTGGCGGTGACGTCAAGAGTCACGCGACCGTGGAGTAGTCATGTAGTCCGTTAAAGCCTAACGTTAGCTTTTTACTTCTGGCGATCGCATTTAAGCTTCAAATGCGGTATGAAAGGTGTTCATATGTGAAGATTATCTCGCTGAACAAAACCTGTAAGTATCATAAACTTGTGTTAGCCACAGAGCTTATTTTCTGACATAATCCAAAACGCAATGCAAAAATTGCATTCACTTTCTCTTCCGGGAACCAGCGCGATGCTAAACTTGCGGGTTTTAAAAACTTTTTAAAAATAGTCTGTTTTGTTTGTTTTATTACTTCACTGCTAAGTTTTGAATGTATTCCTTGTATTTTAATGACTCTATCGATTTTTACACACAAATTGACAATAATGTTAAAGCAGCTGTAAATGACAGTGTTACAACGGTGTAGTAGGGGAAAATACATACAATACATAGGACCTGCACAGAAAATCCTTTACTGATGAAAGTATTAGGTAAAAACTATAATTAGGGAAATCACTTTTTAAAAAGTACTTGACACAGAAAATGCACAACAATGATTACCAGTGATAAATGTTGAACCCAGGTAATAGAGTATTAAATTTAATTAGTATTCTTTGTTTCTTTTATGATGTGAAGGGAGGCATACATCTAATATAATCCCACAAACATATGTTGTTATTTGTAGTTTGTGTTCATTAAAGCCCTCCTTAGTTTCCTGTGCAAAAGGCACCTTTGGCACCTTGAAATATAATGACAAAAACAGAATTTAATAAGGATGGGAATCACCAGAGGATCGATTACGATATTATCGCGATATTTAAGTCATGGTACGATATTATTGCGATTTTAAATATGTTGCAATATGCTGAGTATCGTGATAAAATGTATTGCAGTATATTGCGATTTATTACCATTCATTCACGATTCATTCAGTCCATTTTTTTGCAGCGGTAAAACTGTATCTAGTGGACTGAAAAATCAATTATTAAAATATATATATATATATTAAAATATAATTATCTATTATTCTAGTAGGCTACCTAAAGTTTAATTTGTATTTGTCATATTAATAATTTATTTAATTAAAAAAAAAAAAAAAAAAAAACAATACTCAGCACTGTGTGATGTTATGATATTGCCACACAAAAATATCATGATACTATGCTGGTGTTGATGTTTTCCCCCCACCCCTGGAATTTGAGTTTTTCCAACCTGTGCTGTTTCAGTGGGAATGGAAATTAAAAAAGCATTAACTTATACAATGTTAATCTGATCATACATGAGTGACACTAACTTTTTGAAAGAAATTTTTCATGTTGTTTGACGTTCATGTTAATGGGAAGGCTTGAATGAAGTTAAGCTGCATTAGTCTGTGGATACATTCTAAATTAAAAGGCTGAACAACATGATAATTATTTCATTCAGAATCTTTTTAATTGACTTTTTGCAAACTCTGTTTCAAGTATAGATACTGTTATTTCAGGAATTTGCTGTGTGGCTGTCATGATATTGTGTTTTCAAGTGATCAGTGCCACTGCCATGTGTTTGGCTCTGTGTATGAGTGAGTGTTGACTTGTAGCAAAGTGTCATCTGTTGTTGTTGTTCAAGGCTGTTTAGAAACTCAAGGGGCTGTACAGTATGTACACCCTCTTATCATTTGGGATGTTGTTGTGAATTTGTTTGGTAAAAAATAATTTAATGCCAGCCCAGGTACTACTGATTATTATTACTGCTGATTGTGGTTTTAAAGACGTCCTCATATTTTGTAATTTGTTTGTTTTAAAAGCCTCAGAGATTCTGACATGTTGCAGTTAATGCAGATTCTGATATTTAGCAAGGATGTCTCAGTGTGTTGTAGACAGTTTATGTATTATTGGTATACTGATGGGACGTATTTGACTTATGTTAATATTAACTTTCTTAGATAAATGTAGGGCTCTAGTTTTCACTGCACATGTTCTTTCTTTCTCTACTTTTCATCTTACTTTTTGACTTTTCACTTATTAAAATCTTGTTGACCATCAGATTCAGTTAACATGCAGGTTTATACAGTTTCTTTGTAGACTATAGTAATGACTTCCTGATGGACCTGGGATATCAATCTTGTGTCTTTTAGACTAACTAAGATGCTGAGCTCTGCTAAATTGTAACAAACTGACATAGTGGAATGAGTTATTTTTCGCCAAAAATCCTGCTGACTGACTGCAATTGAATCCCGCCTGGTAAAACCAGGGCACTGACCTATTTGAGGAAGCAGCAGAAATCATTATGTCCTTGCCAATATTGTATTTCTTTTGGAAATGGAAATGTATGACAGATACTAAAGTTATGAAAACAGATGTCTGGATCTCTGACTGAACTAGTGGTACCAACAAAAACAGACAGTCTTCAGCCTCGTGTTTAATCAAAGCTGTGGCTTTTCACTGACAGTGGTTTCATAGTTAAGAATACCTTAAAAGCTTTTGAATGAATCTCAGTTGACACTGAAGGGCTGATATTGTTGGGTAATGTGATGGATGCATTTGTATCGCTGTATATGATGGTGCATTTACAGTAAATTTAAGAATAGATGTCATTGTAAGATGTTTTTATTTGGTTTGTTAGTTGTTTTTTAATTTCAGTAAATGATACAGATTTTCTTCATGGTGACAGCCATGGCCAGAGGCTTTATCTTTTTGGCTTGTTAACATAATATCTCAAGAACATCTTGAGGGAATAGCGTTGAATTTGGCACAAATGTCCAGTTGGACTTCAAGATTGAACTGATCTGATTTTGGTGGTCAAAGGTCAAGGTCACTGTGGCCTCACAAAACATGTTTTTGGCCATAACTCAAGAATTCACAAGCAATTTATGACATTTTGTGCAAATGCCTGATGGAATGAATTAATGAAGTGATGACACTTTATTTCAACAAGGTCAAAGGTCAACTTCACTGTGGCATTGTAATATTTTGTAAAAGCACTTTTCTGGCCATTATTCAACGCCGTAACTCCGGAACAGAAGGGGAGACATTTAGTGGGATACTAAATACGTGATACTAATCTCGGGTGTTCACCTCGAAACAGAGCAGATTTTATCACCTTATTCCTAGCTCCCACAATACCTTGTGTTAATTATGGATGCGACTTCTGGTGCTGAACTGGACCCGGCGTTTTCCAGTGGTAACGGGCAGTTAGCCAACTGTACACTAATCTTCTTTCCTAGAGCAACTGGGAAATAAAACATGGAACACTGTGACACTTCAAATAGGATCATACATCTGCCATCTCAAAGCGTTGTTTACGGTTTTTAACCAGGCGGGTTAGCGGTCAGCTTGCCTTGCTCTGTTAACAAATGTTAACTCTAACAGAGCTCTGGCTAGCTTACAGTCAACATCTACTCCTTTTTAAAGATGATTAAGGGTTTCTCATGACTCATAAATGGACACTAACACATTTGGCGAACATTTAACATAATTCTGTTTTAATTTTAGCTCCATGTAAAGTGAATATTGTGATGTTTTCCAGATAAACAGTCCACTCATCTGCCTTAACAACGCAGTTTACACATTTTTAGAACTGCTGATTTAATAGATCAGAGTTTTATTGAGTGAACATGATGCTGAATTTAGAAGCAATCCCCAGTATTATCAGTAACATGAAGTAGTAGTAAAATAAATAACTTATGGCATTCATTTTCATATGAGATATGATATGACATAAGTATGGTAAATCGGTAACTCTTTGTCAGCCTAGATGACTAAGGTAAAGACATAATTCAAGGTATGCTGCTGAGTTAACTTTTATAAAGGGGAAATTTTCTATTGTAGGTTAAGAATGCAGTCAGACAGGAAAGACCTGTCACTCTAGATCTCATTCTCTTCCACAGATTTTGACTTAATGCCTCTCCGCTATGCCTTGTGGAACTCTTCAGGTTTATTATATCTTGTTTCAATTGTAAAACAATCTATCTTTGTTCTGGTTGCATGTTCAACACTGGCTATGGTTACATGATAGCTTCTCATTCAGAATGAAATAAATCTGAATGAAATCATTCGGAATTAAAGTTTTTCCAGGTAGCTTACATGGGAAATATTCATTCCGAATGAGGGTTTACATGGGAGGTCAGTTCAATCACCTGCGCAAGGTTTGGGGCAGGGAAGGTTTCTGATTGGATAGGGGGCGGGGCGGATGTTACGTGTTTACGTTTACCGGAAGAAAACACTGTAGTCCTCGCTCCGGATAACAAGATGCTTGACAACGCCATTCTTAGTGCCTTTTTGTGCGTTTTGCTTATATTCTTGAAGCAGCAGTACGACAACAACCTTGTTCTGCTAATGCTTCATCTGTTGAGGAGGAAAAGGGAGGTAGAAGACCGTGCTGTGGCGAATGGAAACTGGTGAGTGCAACGAGTCCGACTGCTCTGTCTCAGCCCGTTGCTATGCAGCCCATTGCTATGCAGCTCGTTGCTATGCGTGCTATATACGTCATCGCGCCAGAAGGGCAAGGAAACGAGCATGTGCAGAAAGACCAGAATGAACTTAGAGGGGAATGAGTGTATACATGCACACAAAATTCTTTCATTCGGAATGACAAACGGAATAAACCACCCCCTTTAATCGGATTTAATTTTCAATCGGAATGACCATTTTTCAATCGGAATGACCGTTTACATGACCACTTTTAATCGGAATGGCCTTTCATTCCGATTAAAAGTGGAATTAAACTGTCCATGTAAACGTACTGACTGTTGAGAAAGCCATAATTTTAGCTAAGTCTGGTTGTTGGTACAGCTGCGGACAGCACAACAGGTACCAGAACTCCACAAAGACGCTTTAGAAAATTCTAATTAAATATTGGTTAAATATTTGTAAAAACAAACATGTATTTGCTAACTTGACGACAAATTACTATTAAAAGGAACCGCTGTTGGGGGTTAGCCACCATGACTAGCCACTGAGACTAACCATAGACAGTCTAAGACAATGGTTCCCAAAAGTGGGTTTCAGGTCCATTCTGAAGTCTGCAAGTGACCTACAAATGGGTCATGTTTGTAAAAAAAAAAAAAAAAAATTCTGGCACAGAGCTTTTATTTTGAAGTGCCATATCCTGCTGTAGAGTAAGTGACTAACAGACAGCTGCTTGAGAAAGACAGCAAACTAGCTTGACGACATGGTATGACGCCGAATGTATTAAGCTGTCTGGACTTTGAATTAATGACTAAGGAGATATCTGAACCCCGTGGCTGGACCAGTTGGGAACCACTGGTTTAAGGGACTAAGTAGCTTACTTCTACTTCGCTATCTCACTGGAACTTGCACCCATAATCATTTCTACCGTAGTCCCCCCAGGAATAAGGTGGATAGATCTGCCAGGTTGAAGATCTGTGTGAGGCATCAACATTTTAAAATTTGTAGCTTCTTCCCAGCAACATCCATATATGACGAATCGTCTACTGTCATAGCTACATATGAGTCTGGTCAGACGTGGATGTAAACTAAAACTTGAAAACACAAAATGGACATTTTAAAGTTGAAAAATGAACTGCTGTGGACAACATTGTGATGACATCACAATAAGCTCAAACAAACAGTATCCAGCATATACGCCAATGAAGTACATCTGTGATGAGCTAAAATCAGAAGACAATATCGACCCAATTGATTTGTCGTTCAGCTATAAAATAATCTCTTCCTGGATATCAATTCTTGCTCTTGAAAGTCTTTTTAGTTTTTGAAATGTTTAATTCCCAAATATCCGGATCAGCCACATAATGCTGATAAAGGTTAGACTTTTTTAATTGTTTGTAAGATTTTCAGCTGTAAGAATTTTGTCCTTATCCTTTTTTCTTGTCTTATTTTCAGCTGACAACAATCACCGCTTGAATCTCTTCTACCTTGCCAATGATGTGATACAGAACTGCAAAAGAAAGAACGCCATTGTCTTTCGTTCAGCCTTCGCAGAAGTTCTTCCCAATGCTGCCCAGTTCATCAAGTGAGTACACAGTTTTTCATCAGCTGTAGTATTCGACCAAAATTATTATTAAAATGTCTGAAGTAAGAAATGCTCAGGCTGTCTTTCCAAGCTTCTAGTTTCAAGATGTGTCATGTTGTGTTTCCATTTTGCATTTTTGTCAGAGACGGGAAGGTCCGCAAGTCAGTGGAGAGGATTTTTACCATATGGGAGGAGAGGAGCGTGTATCCTGAGGAGGTCATCGCCCAGTTCAAAGCCGGCATGAACCGAAGAGAAAAGGAGCGAGAGAAGCAGAGGGAAAAAGAAAAGGAGAAGGAAAAGGAGAGAGAAAAGGAAAAGGAGAAAGAAAAGGAGAAAGAGAAAGAGAGGGAGACTCCAGCGGCAACTGGTCAGTTTGATACTTCAGAGTTTTCGCTCTGCACCCTGAAATAGTAAATCATTTCCAAAAGTGAAATAACTTCTCAAAGATTGAACCGCATGAGCATATATTTCAAACTGTTTACAGGTGCTATTGTGATTATATGTTAGTAAATTCATACTTTATTTTTATTCTTTAGCCTCAGCCAACACCAAAGCTGCCCTCAAGTCCAAGATCGTGGCAGAGTTCACAGTAAGTCTTGTTTATTAGTGTTGTCTTGTGTTACTTTGTCTTGTGTTAGGACGTGTCTATTTATTTGCACTCTGTTATTTTTCCAGCCCCACTCCCTCATTGAACAGCTGTCGAGATATAAGCGGGCAGTCGCAGAAGAGGAGTTCAGGGAGAAGCAGCTGGCAGCTCTCAGGGTGGACGTCTGCAGCACGGAGGCTCTGAAGAGACTTAAAGGTCAGATGTCAATGAACTTATTTCTGCATCATCACACATTCATTGTCTTGTTTACTGTAGGTCCCAAGCCACAGACATACTGGACACTTAATACTTTAAGAGTATTAATAAGAGTTTACACACCACTAGTAGATGTGTAGCAGGACTATTTCTGCAGTTTCAGTGAAGACTGTTTACAGTAATGTCTGTGGATTATACTGTGTAAGCAGGACATTGTTTCCAGTGATGGTGGGTACATGTCCTGCGTCTGTGACACATTAAAATCAGCTTTTTTTCCCATTTAATCAGTACAAAAGTTCAAACAGACATCTTTAAAAAAAACAAAACAACATGGCATCAGTTCATTACAATACATGAGAAAAAGACTGATATAGCAAATAATTTAAAATAAGATGTAAAATAATCAAAATATTTTGTATAAAAATAGATAAGCTGTCATATACAAGTGTCTGAGTGAGGGGATTACTTAAAATATACAGTTATTCTTTAAGTCAAGTGCTTCAAAAACAACAGGAGATCTTTTTGTAAATCATATTTAACCAGCAGATTAAAACGGTTTTACATGATATTCAATATATCAATAATTGTGGGCATGTTCTTAGTCTCAAACATAGCTTTAGCTTAGGTTAGTTTAGTTTTTTTTCACAATTAAAACACAAAAAAGGCAAGAAAAATTGATTAAAGAAAACCCAGAGGGCTTATTTGGAGCCTCGACCTAATACAATTTTCACAAAGTTATTAAGAACTCAAAAAATATAGAAAGATAAAGAACAATATTTAAAACAATACAAGTGATAACAAACTACTAATAGCAAAATATAAAGCTTAACCAGGTCATGTGATCTGCTACTTCAGCACACAAACAAATACTACTGGTACCAGAGAAAATTGCAGATGAACATTTGAAATCCAGGAATTTACATTATAAACACAACTGACTAACCATAATTGTAATTTTACACATGCATGTGTATGCACATCATCAGGGTGGTACCATCACCTAGGGGTCGCATTAACCGGATATTCTTGGTAATTGACCGTTTTTTTACAACAATGACCGGAAAATCTGAAGGCTGTCGGTCATTTTGACCGGTTGCAATTACCACCCCTGCCCACTTGGCGGCAGAGTGCACAGTCAGTGGTTTAAGTGACTGCCGTTTTCACACTGCAGAGAAAAAGTCATTCATCTGCTTCATGTAGCGTTGTTGACATAACGCCCTGGACACACCGGACGCGGAACCGAAGTGCAGCGCCCAGCAGCGGAGGCAATTTTCAATCGGTGCCCATGTTAACCTATCTGACTGTCCACACAGGCTGCTGAGCAGAGCGGAGCACCCGCGGAGGCAGCGCTTCAGTTCAGCGTCTGGTCTATTTTTCATGCGAGCCGCGAGCGCTTCTGTCAAGCTGGATAGAGCGGATCGTACCAAACAGGAAGTCGGACACAGAAAAGACAAGATAATCCGGCCAATTTTCAAAATGAAATAACAACAGCACGCACTGTGGAACATGAGGAGAAAATACTGTGTTTATAATTCAAAATAACACAATAGTGCATAACCGAACACATTTTTCAATACCCTAATCACTTCATTACAATTTTAATTTTGTGTCACCGAGCCTACAGGCCTAACTACATAACACCCTGGACACACCGGATGCGTTAGTGCCGTCCAGTGTGTCCAGGGCGAAGCCTAATGGCACGGGTGTGTGGATGTCTGTTCATCTTTTCGTTCATGTCCTTATTAATGCACACTTTATAACTTGCTTGTTGGATTTATTAAAAACGAATGAATGAAAACTAAATGTCTTTGAATATCTTTATTATCATTTAAAAACGAAAATTAAAATGACCGGTAAAAATAGATTATGTTATGTTTATGACCCTGTCGGTCAAAATGACCAGCGATGAAAAAGTCTAGCGCAACGTCTGCCATCACCATTTCATTTTGAGCCAGGAAAAAACCCTGCAAGTCCATGTTGAAGTCATAGAAATAAATCCAATAAATAAATAAATAAATAAACGTATTTGTTAAAAAAAAAAAAAAAAAAAAGACAAGTTGCCCCTGCTGCAACATGACTCGCAAATTTCATTTCAGCAATCATGGCTAATAACTTGGTATTATTGGTCAGTGAGCTCACATCACTACTGATTGATGCTGTTTCAATTCATGTCATTGATGACTCGAAGAAGATTAACTTTCCAGGAGACAAGCCAAAAAATGTTGAACAAATATTTTCATTTGCAGGCCGTCATTTTCTTATCGTCTATGCATATATCTTGTGCAAGTCTCACCGGGTAAAAGGAAAACAAAAAATCTTCTCAGACAGAAAGAGAAAAGGCAAACTTCTACAAATGTTGAACTATTAAATGTATGATATTGAATATGAGTGTCACATTGCAGATTATAAAAAAAAAAAAAAAAGACTGCATGTGGATCTGGGGAGTCACTGCATTGAAAACGTATCAACATGACTGTGTTTCTAGAAAGAGACGTTGCTGCTGAGTTTTTCTTTTTTTTTTTGTTTAAAGATATTTTTGGGGACTTTTTAGCCTTTAATGGATAGGACAGACAAGTGTGACAGGGGGAGAGAGAGGGAGTGACATGCAGCGAAGGGCCATAGGCTGGAGTCGAACCCGGGCTGCTGCGACAACAGCCTTGTACATGGGCGCCTGCTCTACCACTAAACCACCGACGCCCCGAGTTTTTCATTTTCTGATGCGTTGAGCACCACCAATGACCCTTAATTGTTGCTGTTGGTTCAATAAATGTGTTCATGGAAGTCTCAACAAAAGTTTTTGTGCTGGTTATGTAGTGAAATAGTCGCGTGTCCACCTAAATGCTAATGAATCAGCCAAACCCATAATATCCAGTTGTTGGTCACAGTCCTTTTAAACGTAAAATGTGATCTGAATTTCATTTTGGCTTCGACACTGCCTTGTATTAAACCACATGAAATGTTTATGAACCATGCATTTAACTTTTTGCTTGTTTGTCAATTGTCTCTTACTCCAGATAAGGCAGGGGGGAACAAGTTTGCGAAGGACTTTGAGGACGGCAGTCTGAAGCTGCAGGAGTTTGTTGGCTTCATGGAGAAAGAGTTGAAAACGGGGCCTCCTCTGCTGGAAGCTTTGGGAAACGCAGACATCTTCTATGAGATGCAGTACAAGGAGGTTAAGATTGTGGCCAATGTGAGTGTTTGGTTCAAATGATGTCATCACTTTCCCTACTTAGAGGGTGTGTCTTGTTTTTGTGGATTGAAATTGAAATAGGTTCAGTGGACAGTTATGTGGTACTTGATGTTCTATGTTAAGTTCCACTGTTTCTCACAGACATTTACATCCTTCTAACAACTGATCCTAGAAAACAATATGAATGTTAATGGAGACAGCTGGAACATCCTTTTTATCTTCCCCATATCTCAAATTGTTTCCTCTCTGCTCAGGCGTACAATGCCTTTGCCAACCGTGTGGCCAGTCTTAAAAGGAAATTGGATTCCCTCAAGTCGACTCTACCTGGACCTGAGGACTCTCCCATTCCCTCTCCCTCTGAAGACGCCCCCTCTCCCACTGGCTCTGACTCACCCTTCCTGGGACTGGGGGGGAGCAGAGCCCAGGTGGATCCAGAGCTGGATGGCAAGGCCATGGATGAAGGAGAATTACCCAATGACCACAGAGACACGGAGGACATGGACTTGTCTGATGAAGAGGCTGTTGCCGCCAAAGAAGGGGGTTAGTGGCTCGGAGTGTTGTAATGGGGTGATAACTGTCCTAACCATATAGATCCACATTGGGCTGCCCATTTGGTGTTGTGATTCAGATGTATCAGCTCTTTGATTATTCTTTACTAGCAGATGACAAGAAGGACAAGACATCCACTGCTGTTGCCAAGTCAGATGCAGCGTCAAAGCTTCCCACCACACCTACGAAAGCTTCGAAGACCAACGCTACTGCTGCTGCCCCGGCAACCCCAGTGACTCCCACCACTGCTGCCGCTCAGAGCGCCTCAGTAAACCCACTTGGAGTCAATCTGGAGAAGGTGGACCTGGGAAAGATCAGCTCCATTCTCAGCTCTCTCACATCTGCCATGAAGAATACAGGTGCGTTCAAGGGTTGGGCATGGTGGGTTTATTTACATGCCACATTTCGGTAACAAAGCAGTTCAAAGTGTTTTTCATAAAACATCAAAAGCATCGAGACAAAGTGCAGAAGAAACGCATTATAAAAGGACATTGAAATGCAACTAAAAGAGCTAAGAGTACAGAAGACAGAGAAGACAATAAAAGTTGTAGTGCAGTGCAAGAAATGAATAAATATTTGATTTAATAAAAGGCCGCAGAAAACAGAAAGGTTTTCAGCCTTGATTTAAAGGAACTGAGAGTTGCAGCAGACCTGAAGTTGGGGTAAGATGAGTGTGACAATGATTACAACCTGCAGCAAAAAGCACCTTGTTATACTGTAGAAGTCCTCATGAGAGAAAATGTAACAAATTAATATATTCACTATATGCTCTATATGAAATTCAGAGCATATGAGTTGTCTGGACGTAGTAGTCAACATGGAGTTGGCTGAGCCAGTGGCTTGCAGCTAACAGTGATAACAACAACAACAGTGCTGACAGAGCTAACTGTGCTAACCTAATGGTGTTAACTGAAGGGCGGGCGCTGTGACGATGCTGGGACGGCATCGTCACAGCGCCCACAGTGTGCAGAGCAGCGGGAATGAGATAGCCAGTGGGATACACACATGCACTGAAATGCACGCATGGCTGGGCCAGCTTACCACAACACATACAGAGGTAGCATGACTCCATTTTCTGCTCAGGACACCATGACTCCACTATATCTTTATGTAGCAGATAGAGGTTTGCTGCTATATTAATGCTCTGAATGTCGTGTACAGAACTTTTAAATACATGACTCAGTGTGTTGAATGTAGTGGCACTTAGCAGTGAAGTTGAGAGGGCAACCACCTGAATACCTCTCCCCTTGCTTATCCATTCCCAGGCATGTATAAGAGCCACTGATGACCTTAACTTTAATTTAAAAATGCACAAGGTCCTGTCTAGAGCCAGAGTTTGTTTTGTCTTTTCTGGACTACTGTAGAAACATATACATTTCGGCCAACAGGTTACCCTTAATAATATGACTTTCTTTTACCTTGAAAGAGCTTATTCAACAAAAATTATTATCATTTTTACAAGATAATTACAAACAACATTTTTATTGCAAAGACCTTGATATAGTTCAGTCCCTCCAGGATTTCACCGGCTTCTTTCAGATTGTTGCTGCCTAAAATGCCTGAATTCACTGCAGCTTTATTAAAGAATTTCTATGCATGTTGAAGCATCTTTTTTGTAATGACATCTTTTTTTGTAATGACGTTGCAGAAGCAGGTGAAGATTGCAGAAATAGTTACTTTTTTCCCCTCTGTGTAATTCATTGAAAACTGAAGGTTAATTGTTCCAGTGAGAATAAAAACCTCACTATTCAAGAAGGCTGAATTTTTACACCATGTTTAAACATGTTTTTTGAGACTTTCTTTCCCAAACTATTTTTTTTAATCACACAGACGTTTGTCTGCAGTTGGTCACGCAAACACGCACACCTCTATCTGATTTACACTAACCTAATTTTACAACTAACCATGCATACTTACTTTAACTCACCTTGATTCTCACAGCACAGAAATGGGTTTAGATGCAACAGTCTTAGTCATGCTGATTTGTCTATTATCAACGCATTTCAGTCGTCCTCCAGTTGTGTTTTCTGGTAAATAAGTCTGAATGTTCTACCACAACATTGCATGCCATGCAAAACAATTTAACCCCGCTATCATGCAGAACACCAGCGAACTGACTTGCACGGCCTTTAACAGCAATTTTCAATGGAAAATATGAGACGTACATGTCTCACAGATCTGTATCTTTGCAATTAAAATGGGAAGTGGGTTCAAAGCGCTGTGCAGAGGTTGCTGTAATTGGTGAAACACACAGGAAACTACTCTAATTGGTCAAATTGGTGGAAAAAATGTCTGTGATTGGACAAAATTGCAATGCCATGCAGAATTTGCAGGGATTGTTTGTCTGAGTTAATTGTTTGCAACATCCTGGGGGCTGATAGTTAGTTTTAAATGTTAGCTATCAGACTAAAGTAAGTATAAAGTTAATGTACCTAAATGCAGTGTTGTTTTGACAAACAAAAACTGGGTATTTCAAGATTATGTGCAACATTTTGGATCAGATGGTGTTTGGAATAGAGAGTTGAGAGACCTTAATGGTGTATGAAGCACAGGAAAATTGGAGGTTTTGTGTTTTAGATTTATTTAACAGAGACTTCCTGTGCCTGCCTTTGAACCAATCCCTCTTTGTCTTTAAATTGTTCCCTGCAGCGAGCCCATCACCTCGGCCATCTCCAGGAACACCCACCACTCCCTCTGGCCAATCAGCAGCTGCCAAAGCGACCTCTTCGAGCCCTCACCTGGCCAGCATCCTGTCACGTGTTGACATCACACCTGAAGGCATACTCAATGCTCTGTCTAAAACAAACACCCCATGTAAGACACATATACAGTACACTTGACGCTGATTTTCACTGAAGAATGTTTATTTATTAAATGTTACTAATCATTTATACTTTTCCCTATGTCATCACCTCTGTCTCACTGACCCCACCCTGTTTCTGTCCTTGTTTAGCTTTGTCCTCTCTCCTGCAAAGTGTGACAAACACCACCTCCGCCCCTTCCACCCGAACCTCCCCGGAGTCATCAGCAGTCAAAGCCCTGCTCAGCCCAACCGCCCCAAAACCAAAACCCACACTGGGGAACAGCCTCAAACGAGACACGCCTGGGAGAACCAGAGATTGGGAGAAAGAGAGACAAATGTCCCCTCCTCCTCCTCCTCCTCCTCCTCCTCCACCCCCTCCTCGTCCCTCAGCTCCTTCTATCTCTCCCCCAAGCCTAGAATCAAAAATCAACAGTTTCCTGCAGGGTAATCCAGGTTTCAGTCTCGCTCTAGGTGATGTCAGTCCCGATGGGGTGGATGGGACCCCAGTGAGAGACGAGGCTGCTGGGACCCCCACCCAGGACGAGATCATGGACACACCTGGGAGTGTGTCAGAATCTTTAGGGTCATCTGGAGGTCATAACCTCTCACCCACAGCCTACCGCAGCGAACCATGGGATGCTGTGATCACTCCGTCAGGAAGCAACAGTAATGGAGACTTTATGGGCACTTCCTCGTCTTCCCGGTATGGAGCCGGGAAGAAGAGCAGCACAAAATCAAAGGATGATGAAGTGAGGAAGCAGGTTCCCTCTTCCCCCAGTAAAGACATGAAGGGTAAGACAGACAGCCAGTCAAGGGTCATGGGAAACAACAGAGGGGTTGGAGAAAGGAGACTCTCGGCCAGCTCTCGTAAAGCCAGCAGTGGCTCAGATGACGGGGGTCTGAGTGGGAAAAGAGAGGGGAAGGAGTCTCCAGGTGGGGGTGGGAAGGAAGGCCTGTACCACCGCATTGAGACACTAGTATCGCCCTGCACTGAAGGGGCACCCATCCAAACTCTATGCTACTCGAACCGCCCACTCGAGGGAGAGCGCATCAAGACGGTAGAGAGCATCCGTGTGATTGGCCGAGGCTCCCGGCGAGGGGGAGGGGCCAGTGGTCGGCCAGGGGGAGCCATGTGGTATGAAGAGGAGGAATACATGGAAGCTCAGCCTCCCTCACCCCGTGGTGTCCCCCCTCCTCTTAACATCGGCACTGAGGACATGACCCCCTCCATGCCCCCTCCTCCCCCACATCTCATCCTCCCACATATCCCCCCTCCTCCGCCACATCCTCACGCACAGCCTCCTCCCCAAGGTCCGTTCCAAATGCCCTACCACACGGAGAACATGCAGACTCCTCCTCCATCACTCCTCCATCAGCATCCTCCTCCTGCATCCCATTTCTTCAGCCCTCCTCCACCGATCCCTCGCCCCCCTCCGCCTCCCGTACCGCAGCGCCCTTCCCCTCCTCACCATGCAGTGCCCTCTGCAGTCATGGTGGGGGGAGTGTTGGTCCCCGTTGACCGTCCCCTTTCTCTTCTTCCCCCTGTCAGACCTGATGGTGTAGAGCGAGGCGGAGGAGGGCCCAGAGGAAGCAAAATGGTCCCTCCACCCCTTATGTCATCGTTGCTAGGCGAGCCCCCTAAGCTGCCCCGTCCTGGCACAGTTAAAGAGCCGTTTGTCCCCCGCCATGCACCCCCTCTCCACCACCCAGGCAACCCCGGTGTTCCTCTACCCTTACTGGGCAGAGTGAAGGAGCCCCTGCATCTACCTCTTCCTCCCCCCTCTCCCACATCCTCCACTCCCTCTCCCTCCACGCCTAATTCCCCTGCAGTCGACACCGCCCCCGCTCGCCTCCCTGCGCAGTCCGCTGGCCCTCCTCTCCAGAAACCCCCCACTAGTCCTCCAGCTCAGCCCCGCAACCAAACCTCCAACCCAGTTCCCCTCCTTGCCTTGCCCACTCCTCGACCCCCGATCCTCCCAGTCCCCATCCAACAGAGACCTCTGATGCGAGGCAGAAACCCCTCTCAGCAGTTTAACCCAGATCACCACAAAGGGGGATTTCGGGGAGGCAAGCGGTCCGGTCCTCCATTCACAGGTGGTCCCTTCCATTCGCAGAAGAGACCCTTCCTACCCCCACGCTACTGAAGCGGTCATCTAACACATGCTGAACGAGAAGTGCAAGTGCCCTGCAGTGAAGTGCAGAGTGTGTGTTAGCCCTGCTGGTATGAGCCCAGATATCTTTACTCTGTCAATTAGCTTGAATTAAAACTAACTTAGGTTGTGTGTAAATAGCTGATTAAATCTTCATGCTTCAGCGAGGTAGCCAGCCTGTCATCTCACACTGTATAGTGCAGCTATGAGGTTATCAGTTACATAGTGCAGAGTGTTGTTTAACAACCCTCAGTCTGTTCTTTTTTTTTCCCCATTTCTTCATACACCGTAGATAAAAGTTTCATTAGGTCTGGTGCCATGACCTTAGGAAGATGACACAGACAGTTCAAGCAGGAATGAAACTATACTTTATTTAGAGTTTGCCTACCTGTGTGATGTTGGGTTACTTTACCTGAGAGAGAGCAGGAGAGTGAAAGAGAGGTATGGGTCTCACTTAATACATAAGAAACTAATAACAATAGTTTGACATTTTGAGAATCAGTTAATTTGCTTCTTTACTGAGAGTAAAATGAGAAAATCAGTACCATCTTCATATCTGTCCACTAAATGTGAAGCTCCAGCCAGAGCTGGTTAGCTTAGCATAAAGACCAAGAACAGAACAGTTACTCCATCTCTGCCCGAAAGCCAAAAACAGTCTTACTACTGACACCCCTAAAGCTCACTTAACACATAACGTGTTTGTTAAATCTGTACAAAGACTGAAGTGTAAAAATGATAAGTTGTGGTTTTACGGGAGATTGAGTGCCAGACATTTCCTGACAGAGCTGTTAACTTGTAACACTCCGTTTCTATGTTCAGCCTGAAATTGCGTCAGCTCTAATGTCATTCACACAAGTCTGCAGTGATGTGTAGCCAAGCCAACATACCTGTTTTGCTGGGGTTGTAGGAATATAGCGGAGAGAATTCAGTCACACTACAATGTCGGGCAATATTGAGAGGACATGGCAACACATCTTGTATATAGTGCTCGCCATTTTTGTTATTACTCCTAATTGATTCCGGCCATAGACTGTATTTAAAGATGGACAACATATCCACACTTCCTCCCACTGTATAAAAATGAAGCCAAAATGTCCCGAATACGGTTGCTGCCATCTTGTGTTGGTGACGTCATTTGGAGCCAGACCCATTGCAGTAGCAATCTATGTGGTTTAGAGTTCTGGTCCGACCAATCACAAGCATCACCATTGATTGTGAGCACATTTATTGGCACACAGAGCTGTCAATCATAACGGCAAACCCTCTTTGTATAGCATCAAATAACTATTTGAAACCAAACTAAACCAAAAAAACGAACACTTGAATAAACATCAATGTGATAAGAATTACCTAAAGTGACAGGAACCATCTTTGGAAAAAAAGTTATGTGACGTGTACGTTGACCTTCAAACAATAGTGCAGCCATTCACCAGACGGCGATCGAGATGTTATTGCTTCATTTTTTGGGAGCGTTCATGTCATCCATCTTTGTTATACAGTCTATGGGTCTGACACATTGCTTGACATTAGCTTGACAAAAGCTTGACAATGGCATTAGTCCTGCCCTGGTGCTCATTGATCATTTATTATTTTGACGGAGAAACTGCTGTTTGATGTCATGATCCTGGGCGGATTTAAAGGTCCAGACCCAGGCAACGCCAGACACATTAATCTCTGCTGGTTGCATCACAACCTTGAAGCAACAAGACTCCAGGAAGTTGTGCTCCCAGCCACAAAAATCATGCAGATTTTGTTACCTCCAGACAGAACCAGGCTGGCAGTCTGCCCTAGTTTCCAGTCTTTATGCTAAGCTAAGCTAAACAGTCTCCTGTCCCTAGCTTCATATTTTAAAGACAGACATGTTGTCTCACTCTCATCTAGAAAGCCAGTAACCGTATTTCCCAAAATGTCAAATTATTCCTTTAAAAATGTTCGATAAAAAAGTTCCAAAGCGTTCTCTTCTTCCATGAGTGCATGGGTGTGTGCTGTGTGTCCTAACATGGTATCTCTCATTTGAAGTGATGAGACTTCGTGCTGCAGCGAAGGTTAACACTCTTCCCTTTCTCCAGAGTACCTACTGTATATAATACTCTTCCCTTACTCACTCTTTTTTTTCCACCCTTCCCCCTCTCCCACTGTATATTTCTAAGCTTGTAAATATAAAAAACTGAGATGATACAGCCTTTTTTTCTCTTCAAGCTCTTGTTTCTGTTAACGAGGACAATGATCGTCACTCTCGCAATCCCGTCTTTACTGTGATTGAGGCCTTGGATAAGCTTTAGCACCAGAAGAATTTCTCTGCAGTGTCTGTCGCACCCTTTCTGTCCTCCTTTTGAAACCACCACGCAGAAGAGGAGGGCGAAGATATTTATGTCTTTTTTTTTATTCCCAACACATATGTCTGCCTGTGCGCGCTTCAAGTTAGACTGAGTCATGAAGATGCTCGGTAGTGGATGGCAGGCAGCGGGGAGGTATTTCAGTTTTGAACCACACTTGCTAGACTCCAACATGTACTGACTTGAATAAAATCCAGAGTTTCAATTCAACTTGGGGGGGAGGTATTTTATTTGGTCACTATTTACCACTTGAATTGCGCTGTTGTAAGTTATTTGCGCTGTTCAGCTGATTTTTTTTTTTTCTTCTGCCTGTTTTCAGAGGAATTGTTTTCATATATTTACACAGCTGCTGCCATCTTCACATTGCATTAACATTTAATGCCCTTTATGTTTTTTTGCGCTGTATTTTTCTACTAGACAGAATTGGCAATTTCCCGTTTGCAGCAGCGCCCACAGATGGTATCAGGGGGGCGGAAAAAAAACATTTGAGCTAATTAGGATTGTTTTGAAAATGGTTTATTTGAATACTCCAGTTGTTTGGGCCCCTTCCTCTGTTTTGTTTCTTTGCTAATTTCATGCTTTTGCCCCCTCTGCTTACCTTGTGCTCACGTGGCTTCGTCCAGAAACACTTGTGCACCTCTCAACACTTCTGAGAGTAAATCAGAAAAGTTGGCACAATGGCAGTGATCCTTCATCTTGTGCAGGAATCACTTCCCTCTGGTCTACACTGATGTAGTTTCCCCACACAGTGAGAGGTGCACGTCAGGTGTTGCTGCCCAAAGCCTCATGTGTCCTATGTTTGTCCGATCATGGAGTGTGTGCTGTCTCCTGTGCTCATTTACAGCTCATCAAGATACACTGAGCACCTGCAAGCACGTAACGTTAGATACATTGTAGAAATGTAACCACAGAGAGCGTATTTGTCACTACAGTGTTAGCACATCATCAGAGTTCTGATGTTTTACTGAATGTTATACAAGTCTGTTACCACGTCTGTAAACTGTGTCTTCTATCTGATCACTGAAACAGCTAAGTATCAACGCAGATCAGTTTGGTGTGTGGATTTGCACAGAGAGAAAGCTATATTGTTATAAATAATTATCTTCCTAAGCACCTACCAAGTTCAACATTTCAGTTGTCCCTGTAAATAACCCCTTCTTCTGTTTCCTCTTTGACAAACTGAGTTTGAAAACTGACTGAAGATGTGACAAAGCTGATGGTCTGTGTATATTTGACAAGTTGAATTGCTCTTACTGCTGTTTTCATCAATGATGCTATATCACCGGTCTTTGAGTGTCCAGTCCTTTCTGGTGTGATGAACATGCACTCATTCTATTGTCACAAGTAATATATGCATACTTAAAGAGGTGAATACATCTGTTTTTAAATCCTTTTTTTTTTACACAAACATACTGCAGAATCCATTTTTAGTGTTTTGATGAAGTGACTTGCATCCATTTTCTTCACATATTTAATGTATGCGGCATTTTGATTGGTCACACCTTTGACTGTAAGCAGTCGGTGCACTGATTTAATTCAACCAGGGAGTTGATTTGCTGTTTTCTGACTTTTTTTTCCCTCTTGCTAAAAACTCAACCTTTTCTCTCATAACCTCCTCGAGAAGACTATTTCTTGTTTTGTTTTTTTTTTGTTATTTTTGTTTTAATTGTTCCTGCACATTTGCACACTACGATGCACACTGTTGTTTGGAAGAAGTACATTTCAGAAATGCGATTCAATAACTTTCGTCCACTTTACACAGAGGTATTGACCACTGCAGTTCATGGGGCGCATTTGCAGAGTTCACTTACAATACATCGCGACATAGAGACTGTTTGATGACCCAGCCATAACCTCAGTCACAACATCAACGGAATGACACTTATTGAACACTTAGTAGTAAATAATAACCTTTTAATTTACTTAATTAATATAACCTACGGATGAATGAAGTTAATGCACTCATTTTGTGCCAGCATCTTTTCAGCTACACCTGACATTCAAAGAGAAATGCCACTATTATATTATATTATGTCCTTAATGTTAAACTCTGATACCATTCGGCAAAACTACCAGCTTTCCTTTTTAGCCAGCTATCTGACAAGTTAGTAGCTTCTTTATACACCAAATGTCTGCATATTTACTTGTGTGCTATCCACTATATTTCATAGAGATAATGAAATAATAGCAAATACTAAAGGTGGTCACACATCAAAGTTTATCAGTTATTAGGTCCAGCCACAGCGAAATGGTCTAGGTGTGTCCAGATAGTGATAGGTGAGATAAAAACGTAGCTGAATGCGCATTTTTAAAACAATTACATACTTAAATGTACTTTAATATTGATAATAGATGCACTTCTTTACCATGTAGATGGGCCATATTTTTTTTGATAGTGCTGTAGCTCCCCCAAGTGGCTGTTCAGTGGTACTCCAGCTCTTAACTGAGACACCTACATCTCCACCATGTACCACTGTGGACATATCCTTCTTAAAATGGTCAAAACAAAATATACTCACGCCTGTGGTCCAAACTAACTATTAATTAGTTGTTAACTTTGTAGTAGCAGTGAGTTTTACAATTATTACTTGTTACATATAATATTCAGTGATCAAAGCAGATGTTAACATTTGACTTTATACACTGCGTCTTTGTTTTAATTGGTCTCCCGTGATATACTTTAAAGTCTCCAATATTTGAACAGTGGCTGCAGTGAAGATGGTTTCCATGAGGGTAAAATATTAATTGCATTAAGTCAGATTTTCCTCATTTACTTGCTGATCTAAAAGACTAATGCTTCGGGGGCTTTAAATGCAGCTATAGTTGACAGCAGATGGCTCTAATGCGCAGCTCCATCATGGAGCACATCCACCCTGCTGCTCAGCCCTGTTGCCTGTCGTGATGCTCTAACGTGAAGTCTCTGTGTTTAAAATACTTTGGGGTTGCACACCAGTAGATCACTGGACTCCAGCTTAGGTGATGCCCTGTGATGATGGGCGCGCTTTTGCCATGCGTCACCTGTCGCCAGCTCCCAGAGTACGAACTGTTTCTTTAAAATCTCTGCGTATTTTAATCCTGAATCTGACTTTGCATGGCTGTAGGTGTTAACACCGAGCTATCAGCCCCTCTAACAACTGCAAATGTCCCGTATGTGCAGCTCTTGTGTGGATGCGCCCTCTGGTGCGGTGTGGACAGCCCAGGCGCGTGGACGCAGCTGCGTAGTAGCGTCATAGGGTTACGTCTTCGGCGTCACCGCTGCTGTCCTAAACTGTGCTTCCGGTGTTATGGCTGCTCGCAGGAAAGGGTGACCGTAATGTGGGGTATTTGGGAGATGAGCGGGTGTGTATAGGCAGGTGTGTTCAGGATGGCGGTGACACAGCTGTTTCGGCTCGTTGTCTGCCGGTCGGCAGCTCGTGCGACGCTTCGCGCGCACAGGAGGTACAGCAAGGTGCGCGAGCTTGTCAGTACTGCAGTACGGCTAACGTTAGCTAACAGTACAGTGTGTTGATAGTCGGAGGTGGCTGTTTGTTGTTTTACAAGTGTGTGAAGGTGTTTTGTGCTTTGATAACCAAACTACCTGTCCAGTTAAACCTTTTTTAGCTCTAGTTTTATTGCAATTATACAGGATATGGTCTGGCTCTTGGTTTTTGGCAGTGGTGAAATGTAACTAAGTACATTTACTGAAGTACTGTACTCTAAGTACAGTTTTGAGGTGCTTGTACTTTACTTTAGTATTTCCATTTTATGCTACCCTATACTTAAACTCCACAACACTTCGGAGACAAATATTGTACTATTTCTTACTCCATTACATTTATTTAATAACATTACCTACTAGTTACTTTTGTAGGTTTAGAGTAACACAAAAATATAATCAACAAAATATCTGTTATTCTAGGCTTAGGTACCCTGAAATTGTGAGGTAATTAGCTTCATCTTTACTAGCTGCAGTATTAAAGTGATAAACATAGTATTGCACCACTTATCATACAGTAATATCATATAAATTATTTAGAAATTGGCCATTCTGCGCAATAACAATTTTACTGTGGGCACTGCAAGTGTATTTTGATGCCAATACTTATTTGCTTTTACTTAAGTACAATTTTGAAAGCAGGACCTTTAGTTGTATCAGTAGTATTTTTATAGTGTACCTAAAACAATACTTTACCTCCCCAGTGAACATTTGTATGTCTATTAGTCCGCCCACGGCACATGTGCATACCGTGTTACCTTGAATCCGTGAAGATGTTTTTCTCACATGCCTCTACAGAAAATAGCAAATACATTGATTTATTAACTGATTGGGGACCACGTTTAACAACAGCAAAACTATTTTAAAACATCCGTTTACAAATTCTCACACTCATGCAACCCATGCAGCATAAAGTACATCTCATTTATCCAGTCGTGTGCTCAGTACTTCTAAAACACATACATTTTTGGTAAAAAAAAAAAAAAAAAATCTTTTTGAAACACATTTTTGAAAAGCACAGATGAGTTTCACTATCTAGCAAAAGGTATGTGTTTGGGAAGCATTGAGCATACAACTGAATAAATGAAACTTTGATTATACTGCATGAGTTTTGTGAAAATTTGTAAATTGATGTTTTGACATAGTTTTGCTGTTAAATGTAAAGACATGTATTCCATGGAGGCATGCAAGAAACGCAGAGGTTTTTTTTTTTCACAAATCATTTTAAGGCAACATTCCTTATTAATATTAATTCGGCATACAATATACATTTTGTAGGTGAAGTATCCGTTAAGTAAAAGTTCTGAATACTTCTTCCACCTCTGGTTATTGGAAATACCCAGGTTGCAGTATATATACAGTACATTGTTCTGTATGAGTGGCATGGTCCCTACCAAACCCTCCACTTCTTTTCCCTGCTCTCTCTCATTTGGTTCCCATGTGGTTCCTCACAAAAGAAGAAGTGAAGTTGTCACATTTTTTTCACTGAATACTTCCAAAGTCATAATTTTGGTTATGGCTGTCAGTATTTGATATACAGTTTGGTGTAAACTAAGAGTCAGTGAGATGACAATCCTCAAGATAATGTGTTTTAAAGGCATTTAATTTATTATTTTTTCCATTCACTAAATTCACTTAGGGATGAGGTATCACCTCACCATAGTGCAGTCATTAAGCTGAGGAAAAGACAACACTGAATCTGTATCACATTATTTCAAGATAATATTGATATAGGTGTATCAATATACACTGCTATCAGTTTATTGGGTACACCTAATTAAAACAAATGTAGTCTAAATCAACAGCTCATCAGTAAACCCAACTGTCTTGAAGGTCATTTTGTTTGGTTTGGGTTTAGAGAGGTGTTTATTTAACATCATGGCTACTTTAAAGGCGATAGTGTGTGTAGTGCTGTTGTATTGCACTTGTCTGTCATCATCTTATCTTTAATCCTGATCTACATCTTTCTTTTCCATCTGCAGGTGTGCCCAGCTTCATCTGAGCGACTGCAAATCTTTGAGTCCCTCAGAGAAAAACAAGGCCATAAGAAGAGAGCTGAAGCTACAGAAGCTCGCCTTAGTATCCGACTGGCTGATGGCCGGACAGTGAAGGGAACAGCTGGCGTCACCACACCTCTATTTGTCGCTCAGAGTTCTCGGTAAATACATTCTATAGATGCATGTTCTCTTTATGTGTTTGTTCTTATTTATGTTATATAATGGGGTTATTGCATCTCTCCTTGCAGGGTGAAAGGAGTGCTGGTCAGTAAAGTGAACGGGGAGTTGTGGGAGCTTGGGCGGCCTCTAGAGGCAGACTGTGAACTACAACTGCTGGGGTTTGACACAGTTGAAGGAAGACTGGTAATCACACTTGTTTTAAACAATGCTGTTGTGTTCTAGCTTGGTTGCATTACCTTTGTGGTGGATCTTAAAAGCAAAACATTTATGTTAATTTTTTCTTCTCCCAGTCACTCCTCCTTTACTTCAGTGGAAAACATCCTGAGGTTACAGAAGGACATACTGGTAGAATGAATCATAAGTCGGTAAAGGAAAAAAGAAATGCCACGAAGACATTACAAATAAACTTAGAAACAGACAGTGAAAGTCACATAAGATAGCCAGGTCTAAAACCCAGATATTGTTAATCGTGCTTGAAATGTTGCTGGAACAAGTACTTCAAATGATGGTTCTGTGTTTCCGAGGCCAAAGGAAAGAATTCAGGAGGAACTGAAGCACACGTCCTTAGTGTTCAGAGAATTTCACTAGCTGTTATTTAGATGTTTCCAGGTTAGTCAGAGGACTGTTCAAAACATGACTGATTTCCCTTATGCTTGAAAGTCAGTGCCAGACTGATACATAGTAAGTGCTGGTATGACTGTGCCCGTGGTTTGAAGTATTTGAAGTGACGATGAACAAAACAAACTATTAGAGATTGGAAAAGGTGGCTGATTAATTTTCACACATTAATTAACATTTGGATTAAAGTGCACTATACATTTCTATTCATTTTATACACTGTGAATGGTCTCAAATTTTTTTATGTGTCCTCGAAAAGTCATGAAAAAGTTTTGAAATTTTGTCTATAAAAATGTGTGTGAACCCTGATTTACTCTGTACCACCTTCCCTGTCTTAGGCAGCCTGGAGGACAGGAGCGTGCATCCTGGGCGGAGTGTTGGAGAAGGTATTTGGTGCCGAGGTGTGCAGAGAAGGAGCGTCAGAGCTCGGGCTCTACTGCGACCATCTGCTGGACAACAACAGGTGAGAGATTCATGTAACAGTCTCTGATACAGGACGTCTGGTGCAGTCTGTTCTGGAAACGTGATCCAGTGTGTCTGGTTTTTAGGAACAACAATGTATTCTGCAGAATCTGCCAAAATATCATCTGGCATTGTTTGGGCCAAATGTGCTTGTAGAGTGCTTAAAACAGTACTGACCTACACATAAAGCAATAGATTATTTCATTAATATTTGCCTCCCTCTCCTGCCGTAGGCCCCACGATCATACAGAGCACATTTTAACTGCCTTGTTTTTGGAATAGTTTCTGACAAGAGTGAAGCGTTTTGCTCACTGCTTTTACGTTGCAGAGTACCTCACGTTTATCCTCACTGTGTGCCTCAAGTTTTTGGAGGAAAAGCTCCTGAAGTCCATAGCCGTTTTTTTCCATTTTGTCTAAACAGATAAATTGAGAAGGGCTGTTCTGTAGTGGCGATGACAACAAGTGTGAGAGCACATGGTTTGTTTTAAGCTAATATTAGCTCACTTTCATCGTCACCCTAGGGAAGCTGCAAGACATGTGTGAACAAATTGTAGCCTCAACTACTGTAATTAGGCCTGGCAACGACAGCAGATTGTCAAACTGTCCCCACTCATCCTAAAATAAGCTTTTAACTGACCATCATCCAGGCAAAGCTCCTGGATAAGCTGGTGATTTCTTCTCTTTCTGAGGGTCTCATGCTGACATGGATCCGTGTTTTCTCTGTGACCAATCCACAAGTGCCCTTGGCCTGTCCGTTGTTACGCAGATTTTAAGATACAGATCTGTGACTTTACGTCATAGCAAAATAGCCAGGTGCCTAGCTGTTTTGCCTAGGTTCGCAGTGTTTAACTGCTGCAGATTTTCCTGCTTTCAGTGTTTTACTTGAATCTGTCCTCTCCACACACAGTGTCTTGTCTCTGAGTGATGTGGAGGAGAAATGTAAACAGGCTGCAGCCCTCAAACTTCCTCTGTCCAGACTGGAGCTGAATACAGAAGAGGTCCGAGAGCTCTTCCGGGTCAGATATACCAATGTCTTCCATTTTTACAGCAGACAGTTTGACTTGTCATTGTAACTAAGGCCTATACCACGCTCTTTGATCTGGCATAACTGAATAGACTGCTGTTGTTATTAATGTTATTCATTATAATTGTGTTTTCCCTTCAGTTATATGCCCTTTAGCATATAAATCTTCATGTAGTGTTTGTGAATCTTTCCACACGGGCACAGCACTCTTTGTGACTCACAGTGCAACTCAGAAGTAACAGAATAATAGAGTATGGCAATGAGAAAACAAACACTGTGTGCTCTGGTGCTGAATGTTATTGTCACCATTCTGCCATGCTGAATCACCCTGTACCTGTCGCAGCTTGTGTAACTGAGTGTTTGTACATGTTGCTTTCGATAACACGTGAATAGCAATGACATTACTCACTGTGTAGGAGTGGCTCCTGTTTATGGTGTGCTGATATTTTCTACTGTCCCCGTGTGTACTTACTGAGGTCAGGCCCCTTCCTATTGTCCTGCTGTCCACACTAAATGGTGATAGATATGAACTTTTTGTGTGTTTTATGGGTCGTACTTTTTATAGAACAGTAAGCTGAGACTGCAGCTTGTTGAGGAGCAGATGGACGGCCCCACCGTCACAGTATACAGGTATTAACACACACACCTGTGGACTTACCTGCAGTGTCTTTTGAACTCTCACCGCAACATTTAACCTGTTTCATGCTTTCTTTGTGAGTCAGGTGTGGAGATAGCCTAGCTGTCTGCAACGGCCCCCTCCTCCCACACACTGGCCTCCTCAAGGTCTTCAAGACACTCCAGGTGTGTGTGTGTGTGTGTCTTCTGCATGTCACTTTATGGTTTTATGTACTCTGACTGTTCTCTCCTTTTGTTTCCTTAGATTTTTTGTTACACAACTGTCCCGAAAACCTTGTACATTAGCCATTTTATCCAGTCATCTCATGTCTGGTCCTTTAAAAGCCAAACCCAACATATCTGTCATTTTTTTGCTGCTGTAATAATAATAATAATAATAATATAGGGATTGGGCTGGTGTTAAAAATTTCAGACTGGTCAGGACAAACACCAGACTGGACCGTTGTATTAAATTTTACCAGTAGGTGTCGCACTTGAATCAGCAGAACTGTGTCCCAGCAGCAAACGCTCGTCTATTGCGTTGCACTACGTTAAGGTTGCTCTCTGTCCACACGGAGTCCATTAAATATGGACCTCTGTTACTTCATGTAAACAAACTATGTAAATATCAGCTGTGCACTCAAGATCAAATTGGAGATGTAGCCACATACTTACTCACTCAGTGAGTACTTGCTATCTTCCTACCTCTGTGCTTTTTAAACAGAGAGCACATGCTTTATATTGTGATATTTACCGGCAATGATGACAAACAATATAGCCAACAGCAAGGACGTTGTTATTGGCGATGGTCATTTACCAAAAACTTTCAGCTTCCTGGCGATCTCCAGTCAGCTGCCACCTCATTTTGGTTTTGGTAATGAAATGAGAAGGTATCATAGAGATAATTCCTCATTTCAACTTAATGAATCAGCCTTTTCCTCGTCCATTGTGGCACTTTCAATGCATGAGGCAGGAATGAGTAGAGACAGAGGTCTGACAGGTCTGACAATCCTGTAGCTCCAAAAGGCACTTGTGGCAGGTTAAAATCCAAACTGTTGTTGCAGTTTTAGTTTTCTTAAAGAGATACTTTGCCTATTTTCACCCAAGTTTGTGTCACCGTGGTAAAGATAGTTTGAGCAGTGTTAAGGCGCCCTCTGTGTCTCCAGCTCCTGCATCTCCCTACCCATCCAACAGCCAGAATCAGCTGGAAATGCCGTGTTTCACATCATCCAGCTGATTTTGACTAATGGCATGGGCAAGGAGTTCTCTGCGCTGCTGGCAGGTGGAGCGCCTTAACACAGTTCATTTACGCATACTTCCGACACCGTGGTGACACAAACCTGGTTCGAAATTGGCAAAGTATCCTTTTAAGAGACTAACTCTGGCTTGTCCTCCCAAAAACACATGAACTTTTTATCCAAAACTGGAAATCGACCAAACTCTATGATAACAATAACAAAAAAAGAGATCCCAACAATACCATTAATATTTTGTTTAATACATGATGATCAAAGGTGGCAGGTTAATGTCATCTAATCTGTAAAATGTTTTATTTGGACCCATTTGACACTTTCTGTCCTGTGGGACACATGCTGGGTTAAATGGAATTTTCCTTGACTTTAATGATGCAGGCAGAGGGAGTAGTTTCCATGCTGGGCTTTCAGTGGGCAGACTGGGATTCCATGTTAGCCGGGCTGGAAATATCAGCAGCAGGATGTTGTGTTTGTCAGAGGCCAGTTTCCTGTTCTCGGCCCTAACAAACACACTGCCATCCATCAGACGTGCTGTCACTCTCATCAGCTCACCCTCCCTCTTCCAGCTGACCCTCACTCTCTCTTTCTCTTTTGACTCCTCTTTGTTCACTCATTATTTTCTCTCCTCCTCTTCTCCCCAACCTCTCCTCTTCTGTGACATCCCAGCTGTCGCCGGTGACCCTGGCCAATCAGACAGAGTCCTCAGGTTTGATGCGTCTTTTAGGTGTGGCCTTTCCAGGAGAGAAGGACAAGGAGGAGTGGGAGAGGGAGCAGGAGGAGGCGAGGAGGAGGGACCACAGACGCATCGGGACGGTAGAGATGAAATCTAAAATTGGAGATGAGCATAAAATAATATTAAATAAAAAAAAGCAGTTGAAGTATTTCCTGGTCATAAATGTGATCATGTTTTTGCACAGGACCAGGAGCTGTTCTTCTTTAATGATGTGAGTCCAGGCAGCTGCTTCTT